GCGCGACCTTGAGATGGCCGGCTAGCGTGAGCGCGCGGTCACGCTAAGTCGTATGTGTGCGTCGGTCAAGGACAGTAAGCGCCTAGCCCCAGGAGGCAGTGGGCGCGCAGGCAGGCTAAAGGCGTCAGCGGCTGGTCTTGGGTTCCAAGTGGCTGCAAAAGGCCACTACAGTGATATGACAGTTCCAGTCGCCCATGCAACCATCCTAAAAGTCAGCAGTACGAATACCAGGCCGGCTTCATAATGCTGAAGTCCGCTGCTATACGCTCAAGTGATATTACTTGCTGTTGCCACGAACTTCAAGCACTGTTGATGAGGAACGTTGTGTAAGTCTGTGTCTGAAGTTGACAAAAAAGGCCTCCTAAATTTTCGAATAGGCGAAAGTGGAAGCCGTATCAGAAGTAAAATAATATTGCGTAAAATGCAGCATAATTCAGCCAGAACAGCCGAATGTAGTCGGGGCGCGTCAATGGACAATTTTCATGAGGTTATTTTGCGCAATTGCATAACATTGTACACTGTAAAGTATCCCAGAACTATTTGACCGTTCATATCACGTTTTTGCATATACATTAGTTTGCATGCATTCAGCAGACGAGTGTTAAGCCTTTCTTTTTCCTTCAATACGCAGGTATCATTCCAGTCCCTTTCAAAGCGTCTGTTTTGACACTCTGGAGATGGGGATGCACGAGACTTTCACGGCACTCGTCGAATTGACCAACCTGCAGGAGCAGCGTCGGCTAGCCTGCGGACCGGAGAGCGAAGAATGGACGGCTCCACAACTGCGTGATCAGGTTGAGAAACTACAGCTTATACGGGACTGTTTGGTCGAAGTGGAGATCGCACGTCTCTCTGCAGACTATGATGCCGTTTTCCGCGGCTATCTGCGCCTTCTCCGCGCACTGGGCAGAAAGAATAGTGCGGAAAATGAGAGCGAAGAAGCCGATAAGTGGTTGGTGGAGTACTTTCTGGAAAAATTTCTTCGATCCACACGTGAGGTCACAATATCCTTGGAAAATATGGTTACAAAAGAGGGGCAAGGGGAGAATTATGAGCTCCAAATGAAACTGGAATTATCCAAACAACGGGCTGCAGAAGCCCTGTTCCATGTAGCAAACTTCGCCTTTAACGATGGTGCGTGTTTTTACTGAAGACCAACATTTAAAACCCAGCGACTAACTTTTAATTGTGAATTCAGCCTTTATTTTGGTGTTATTTATGGCTTTGGATTTATGCAGAGAATTTGATAGGTTTACTGATGAATATGCCAAAATAATTTATTAAATGAGCATTCCCAGATTGCCGGCCTCACCCTCTGAGTTGATATTAAAAATGCTTCTACTCCATTCAGGAAGAACTTAAATGGCTGTTTACCGTCTCAACAGATCGTTTCTAGACGTCCTAGTTTTTGGCTGTTAAAGTTGTAGCCATTCCATTTAGGGCTTGAGCGCTATTAGTGCAATTGTACCACAACCCTGAAAGTAATTCGGCCATCACTCGGAGACGCAACCTGCAGCCGGGGCACTAGGCTGTATGCAAAAGTATACATTTGTCTGAACTTCATTCACATTGTGGGCCTATAGAAATGGCGAAGAGAACTGTATTTGTACTAGCGTTTCATAACTTCCTCGTTTATGCCATCAAAATTGTGTAGTGTCCGTTCCCGCCGTCCTTAATTCCTTTATCCTCGTGAACTGCCTCGTTTTATAGGCGTAATCAACGCAGAACTTTTGACATACCCGTTTGTTGCTGATTAGCTTTGGTGTTGTGGTGGACAACCAACAATCTTGTCCAGCTTCCTCGAGCAATATCCACTGCCACAACGCCATGCAACTTCGCAGGCAGCTGGTTCCGACTCGTTGACCTGCATATACTTGACCGACTTCCACTCACGCACACACGCGCATCCAGATTTTCGCAGCTGCTTAACTAGCCACTTGAACACGCCACCCCTGGCCGACGCCGCATGGGTTACTATACGCGACAACCCCTCGGGTAATGCAACACACCAATTGGACACCACTCGAACTTGCTCCACACATAATCTCCGTTATACGTCTACAGGAGTGGCGTGTGTAGGGTGGCAGTGGTAGTGGCCGCAGGCGATGCCAGGGCCAGTGCTGACTGCGTCCAGCCAGACCTGTGAGAGAATGAGATAGTGGTGGCACCTGCTTAAGTAGGATTCTGAGGCGAGTTCAAGTGGTTTGCTATTGGTGTGTTGCAATTGCCCGAGGGGATGTCGGCTGCAAAGGCCCCCTGCTGCATTGGTCAAAGAGGTGGTGTGTTAAGTGGCCCTTAGGAAGGCGTTCCTATTTGTACGCAGGTGTGTACTTGACTGAATAAGCTGAGGTCAACTGTGAGGTGCCGCCAGAACGCCGAAGGACAGGGGACGCTGGCGCAGCTGTTACGGTTAGCCAGAAGCAGCTGCGAGGTCAAGCCTCGGGGGGCGGGAGCGCCAGTGAAAGAAAGCATTGGAATAGTTGTTTGTGACGACGCATAACTTTGGGGCAGCGGGCCTTGAAGAACGAAGGGGGAACAGGCATTGTGGCCGTCCGCCCTACTTGCTATGGTAGAGCATTTTAGGGCCCAAAGAGCTCGGACTTGCACTCCGGTTTCTTTAAGCTTGTTGTCGAGGTCTTGTTGACTGATGGTAGCGAATGTGTCAGAAATTGCCGTTTTGTTTTCCGGCGTTTTTCTATCATAGTATTCTTCTATTATCCGCATTCTTCTCCGTTCACAATCAGCCGTTAAGGGACGTGCTGTCAGACGACAGTCAACGCCACACATATTTACACTGCTAAGACGAAAGCTGTTTACGGCTGTCATCTTTTTTCTATGATTCTGGTCCTTTCATTTTACACAAAATTCGGCACACAATAAGTTTCTTTCACATTTACAAGTTTCTAAATGCAATGTTCGAGAGTTTTTGCTATTTGGACGATATGTGTGCGATTTATCTATTTTTTATTCCACATGTATTGAGTTTAACGTGCATTTGAAGTCCGTCTGAGGGATCACAGTGACCTTCTAGCTCATAGTTGAACATCCGCAGGTCGATAGTATGTGAACTTCTGACTAAGTGGTGAGGACTTCGAACGGCGTCATAGTGATCAGCCTGGCTGTGTGTTGCTTTGACTCAATCAATTTACTGTAAAAGAAAAATAACTATATCATTCTTTTCCCTCAATGGAAGCGAGAACTCGCCCTCTTCTCTCATCTACGTTTTTTCGTTTGCTGTACGTAAAATATTTAAGAGAATACCTAAACTGTAAAGTGTGGTTGTTTGTGATGAACTTGAGTAATACAATAGCCGAAATTTGGACAGACTATGAAGACTGAGAATCCTGTTGAGCGACATACTGGACGGATCAGTTAGAAAGAACAGAATGCGAACTCATCTGCCCTTGTTTAAGTGTATTCACTTTCAAAGCATAATACTTATTTAAGCCCTCTGTGGAAGTTTACAAATTCAAAATTCAAGGTATTGTCCGGAATAAAAAGGTAAAATGCTTTTTTAAACCATTTTTAGGTAAGTTAATCCGGTTTAAGTTTTGTATATGTTTGTTCTAACGCGCGAGTAAGGAGGGCCAGAATGTGCTTCGGTAATTATTTGTCTTCCAATTCACGAGTGTTAAAACACCGTAAGGAGATGGCATGTAGAACTGTATTCATCTTTTCACCCTCCTCACGTACTAGAGGCAAGACTGCGACTTCAAGAAGTGGTACCGGCACTCGAAAAGGAGCAGACTTGTAGTTTCTGGTCTACCTACTGTCGTCAGGCAGGTCGTATGCCTAATCTCAGACTGAAATGACTAGGGGGTTCGAACGCGGGCTCTTTAATAGCCGAATATCACGTCCGACGCTCTGCCCTAGAGCCACGGGCTCACCCCTCTGCCGGCCGGAGTCTGAGGGACTTTTTTCGAAATTAACCACTAAGGCTGATGTAGCGTACAGTCATGGTCTGTCGCCTCTAACATTCGTGGCCAGCCATCCTTCCTGGGATCACACAAATTAGGATTTGGTACTAGTCTACATAGTAAAATAATCATGCTTTATTTTATCAAAGCTCACTTTGAGCTTTCCGATGAGCACCTTCAATGACGCAAGAAGTAAAACGGCACCATTGATTTTCGCAGTTTTTATAGTGGAGCCCGGAATCTAGAAGTTCCGCTTTCTGCTACTAGGTACTAGAAAATCCTGCTTACCAGCCTATTTTACCATAGTCAGTAAGAAATATCGGCACGAACACAGAGAGTGCTTTAGCGGATAACTCACACATTATTTCTTTCTAAGCAACCAGTAAGGCGAGATAGATTATGAGTTGAGGCCGGGCGTTGAAGGTGTGAGCCAGCAGCTGTACGGGATAACAACGACTGAGACCCGATTAAATGGTGCATAAAACATCTAAAACAAAACAGCCGAATAATTAAAATAGATTTCCAGATAGCCAGGCTCATCTTTTGAATATATATATAGTTCCGCCTGACTAGATTGTTCAGTAATTGGAGAACTTGTTTTCTTTTTCTTCTTGTCAGGCAAGTATGAAGATGCCGTTGACGTCTACCGTCA